GCATGTGATGAACTGTTAGTGTAGAATATGTGCACTTTATGTAAGATGAAACATTACCTGGTCCCCAGGATGGTGGTAGAGGGGTGAAATAAAGCCAGATTCCCCAACTATCTTGACATCTGATGCTCTTCCTCCCCAACCTTTGGACAAGAAGGTGATGTTTCCTGCAGGACTACACACTATGAAATATTTGACTGTAGACCACTTCTTATAATTAGAGTATGATTTTGCCCTGTTGAAAAGAAGAAACAAAAACACGGTTAGATGAACAGGACTCATTTTCAAGTTTAAGATTTCAAATCTTTAATGGACCTTTATTTGTTTTCAATAATACATTTAACATTTGATATGATGCATGCAGCGGCTGGGTACAATGAGCATCCCTCTATCTGAGCATACATTTAAAAAACAAGACCTGTAAATTATCAAACTCATTCGTATTACTTATTCAGACCTGTGTACGAACACTATCAAAGCTACCTGGCTAAACCATAAATATTGGTACCTTTACCTGGCTTTAAGGGCTTTTGGATGTTCAATTCTGATCTCGAAGCAATCTATAATTGATGTGAGGCACGGAAAGTTGGCCTTCATCACTGGTGGTATGGTTTTGGTGATGCACTCCCTGTCAGGCCAGTGAATGAGGAAAGTGATTTTCGCATACAAAAGATTCAGCCAACGTTGGAATATGTGGCGGACGGTGGGTTCTGGCTTGTGTAGTATTTGGCTCAGCAAAGCAATCGATGGATTTTGGCGTAGCTTGAGCAAGCAAAGGAAGAGCTGGTCCTGGGTAGACAATCTAAAACCTTTTGGTGATGATTTGATGAACTGAACTAAATATCGGTGAAGACAGTCAAAAACTGACCAGCTGAGCCCAGTCATGGCCCTGCATGCACTGTCGTTTCCTTTAATAGCATGAACAGACAAACGCTCCTTAGACCAGTTCTGGAGTTCTCTTCTTGCCTCATCTCTTTCTCTTCTTGCCTCATATCTTTCTCTCCTGAGATTGGCAACCTCTATGGCAATGGAAACCTGCTGCCTATGTAATACTGGTGTGTCACTCAGTTCAAAATCATCAGAGGGCTGAGGAAGTGAATCCTCAGTGAAAGGGGCTTCAGGATAAGCTGTATCAAAATCTTCAGGGGTTTCAGTAGGAGAAGCCTCTGTAGGTGGCTTTATTCGCTGCCTTTTTGCTGGCAGGACCTCATGCTGAGAAACAGCATCTCTCCTTTGGTATCGCTTTAGCCTCTTTGAGCCTTCTGACGATGGTCGTTGTGGGAATATGGATGGGACATAATCTGGATGCTCGCCGTCATTCACATGGTATCCTTAAACCATGAAGGTAGGTGTTAACCAAATACAGAGACAAACTTGACAGTTTTTTGGTTAAGTTCACTGCGCCTATAAAATATGTAGATCATAAAATAATTACCATAATGACTGTTTTGATAATAACCCGCCCCCCCCCCCCATTTCGCTCAATATTCACCAATTTTAACTTTTAAATGAATTGATAAGTTTGCTTCAGTCTGAGCCAAATGAGCTGTTCTCTAATGTCACCTTGTGTGTACAGGCAGCAGGCTGATTTCCTTGGTTTGTCCGTTTTTTATATTTCAATGCAGCATCTACTTCCACTTCTTAAACTTAACATTACATCTATTTACTTCAACGATTGATATTAGCCTCGTTAGCATCATCATTTACCTGTGATGAAGTGTTTACCACAGACGTGTGTATTGACTGGCCGGGTCCCATTGATTGTGATTTTCGTCCTCTCTGTGAATAGCCTGAAGCCACAGAGCTCTTCTTTTACTGTCCCTTTTTCTTAGAGGAAGTACAGAAAAACGTAACTGCGTTTTTTTTTTAATGTTTGAGGTGCAATACACGACACAGTAGCTTTTTGGCATCATAAAACAATTATTTTCCGCCTCGCTCGTGAGAGTAACAGCTGGCGAAATGACAGCCCCGTCTGCTGCTTTTAATTTAACCAGCTTTTAATTTAACCAGCCCGATCGTCGTTTTCCAATGATTTAATGTAATAGTTTGCCTGTCTGGCCATTGTAATCGGGCTCTTTGAAGATCCAAAAATCTCCGGTTTTCTTAAATTTCTGATCGGATTGGCAAAAACTTCAGAATTTGTATTGACCGCCGTTCAACTGACAGCGTTGTTTTCCCCCAAAAGTGGGCGGAGCCGTTATTTTTGCCCAGAAGTGACGCATTTATTACTCTCATCTATACAAGAACAGAATGTTAAATTAAATATACAGTCAAATAAAATAAAATACTGTTTATTGTAGGAATAACTGCAAATGTGACACTTGTGAGAAAAGGTTCACCCAAAAGTCAAACAAAAGTTATTCATGCAACTGACTGAACAAGTGTTGGGGAAAATGTTGTTTATGTTATTGTTTTCCTTATTAGTTATTGTGGGAGATTGGGACAATGTATTTTTTTTAATGTCAATCCAGTAGGTGGCGGTAATGTAACTTTATCAGTCCAGAACGAAACCAACGAAGAAGAACATTCCACCGGAAGTTGTGTAGTTCATGCCAACGAGAAAAATAAAAGTTGGTTTGTCTTATTTTGTCTCTTCATACATCCATATATTTCACACAGTAGAAATGGCTGCAGTTGAGAAACTGAGAAGTGTTATCAACGAGCGACTAGCTGCAGCTGCCGATGAAATATTTGGAGTTTTTTCTCAAACTTTATCAGCATACGAGGATGAGATTTGTCGTCAGTGCAGATTATTGGATACCGTCTTGAAGCCTCAGATAAAGCTGCACAAAACAGGTGTGTAACAAACGATAAAATACTTTATTATTTCCTATCAAGTTCTTACAAATTATAAAACAATCTGAATGGGATTCATTATGGTTAAAGCTTCTTGTTAGCTATTTTCTGTTTATTAATTCACATTCAGATCTCCAACAACAGATCACAACTAGATAATGCAATTCCTGAATACATTGATAGTGGGAATGCTTTATGCTGAAAAACTGACGCTAAACTACTATGCTGAAATGTTATGTGTAAGAAGAAAGTGAAGAATTTAGATTGAAATTATACATGAACACTGGGGGCTTGAATGTGTGATGAGAGAAGAAAATAATGTAAAAAAAGGCTTGGAAAAGCAGCAGAATATTTGAACTGCAAACTTTTGAACTAACTTGATGGCGAATGATCTGTCGCCATGCCAACGACATTTGATGACATCCCATAATACGCTTAGATGCATTGATGGCTGCGTCGTTACCAAACCTGTGAAGTTTTGGGCCGTTTGGAGCATTTTCACTGAATTTATGAGAAAACCGTGTTTCATGGCGAGCATTGCGTTGCCATGGCAACGGTATTTGAAGAAATCTCAAAACTGTCCCGTAGATGTCTTCACGGCTGGACTGTGAACACACATGTGAAGTTTGAGCACTTTTTGAACATTTTCATAGGAGTTATATCGACATTGTCTTTTATAGCGAGGGATGCGTTTCCATGGAAACAGCATATGATGAAACCCTATAATTGATGTAGAGCTGTTGAGGGCTGGACCGTCAACCATTATCTGAAGTGTGGTGCTGTTTTGACCCTTTTCATAGGCGTTACGACAACATCGTGTTTTATGGCGAGGGAAACGGCATATGGTGAGATTTCAGATTTGACGTAGAGCTGTTGAGGCCTGAAGAGGTGATATACAGGTGAAGATTGTGGGACGACCGGACCGTGTCCATTGGAGCTACAGCGACATCGTGTTTTATGGCGAGGGATGCGTTTCCATGGCAACAGCCTATGATGAGATCTCAGATTTGGCGTAAAGCTGTTGAGGCATGGACCGGTGATATACAAGCGAAATTTGGGGGACGATCGGACCGTATCCATTGGAGTTACAGCTACAACGTGTTTTATGGCGAGGGATGCGTTTCCATGGAAACGGCATATGATGACACCCCATAATTGACGTAGAGCTGTTGAGCGCAGGTCCATTAACCATTATCTGAAGCCTGCTGCTCTGAGCATGTCTGTTGGAGTTATGACATCATCGTGTTCCATGACACAGGTGTTTTATATTTGAGCTAACGATGTGTCCAGAGATCAGAGGTTACCATGGTGATGATTTAATCAGTGAGAGGAGAGCATTTTCATTGTTCTGAATTAGATATAAACCTCTTACATGTGAACGTTTTGTTGAAGAACCGTAACAGATATCGGTGAAATTTCAAAGCGTGAAGCATGTCAAGGAACTTGAGCATCTGAAGTGTACGTTTTGTGTACTTTCGGGTTAATAATGTGGCCTTTTTGGCAGATTAACTAAAGGTGTGTGGCTGCTGTGGTGGGGAAAGATGAGGCATTTTGTTTAATTATTTTGCTTAATTTTTATTTATTTTTCAAGCTACGAGATGTTTTCCTACGTTTCTCATGAAAAATTACATCTCAGGAATATAGGGTTTAGGAATTATGGCAGGTTTAAAAGAAAATATGAAGGCAACATTAAATCTGTCCTCCACTCTAGCTGTGACATCACACACTCTAAAATCTGAAGAAGGCCTCTTTACCAAGGTCTGAACAATGTTTAATATCACTAAAAGTAAGAATCAGATTTAAAAGTTGTGTTACACAATGTCAGAAAGATGTGTATTGGAATGAGGTTTCTGTGTGAAAGTATGAAGGAGCAGAACGCAGTTGAAGTTGCATGAAGATTGTTGAAGTCTGAAGAGTTTCTCCATTAGAATGCTGTGTCAGCATTCCCACTAAAATACATAAAGCACAGCAGTTAAAATACACATTGTTAGAATATGTTATTTATTTAAAAAAGTTGGTGGCATAATGTTTTTTATTTTATTTTCTAAAATCTATTTTTAAATGTTATGCATAATGCATTTCTGTAGTCTTGTTTGTTGTTGTCTTGATATTGTGATATTGATCTTAACACCATTGCCCAGCATTGAAGGCAATTTGCTTCCCTAACACCACACTAACAGTACTTTGTTTATTTTCTGTCCCTCCAGAGCTCCCTCAGCAACATGTCTGTAATGAGGAGGAGGTTCTCACTGACCAGCAGCTCTGTAGTCAGGAAAGGAACTCCAGTCTGGACCAAGAGGACCCAGAGCCTCCACAGATTAAAGAGGAACAGGAGGAACTTTGCACCAGTCAAGAGGAAGAGCAGCTTGGACTAAAACAGGAGACTGATGTCTTCATGGTGACTCTTACTGATGAGGAAAGTGTGCACAGCGGTCAGACTTGTGCAAAAGAGTCTGTAGGCAAGCCTCAGATAAAGCTGCACAGAATAGGTGTGTAACAAACAATAAAATACTTTCTTATTCTGGCACAGCCACACACAGTATAGTATTCAACATACTTATCTCACCCTATTCTCCTTCTTCCGCCACAAATGTTGTCATGCTACTCGTCCGGCAGCGTTGACACTAAACACACAAAAAACACATCAAAACGTTTCGGAATAACCGTGATCGGGTTGCTATGTCCTTTATAAGAGATTCGCCTAGCCGTTTTCACGCAAATTCGCTGAAAACTGCGATCATTTTCTCCATAGGAATGAATGGGAAATCAATTTGAACAGAGATAAAAAACACCCCTTTGACCCCATACAGAATCCGCACACTTTAACGTAGGACAACAAATACAAGTTTAAACGGTTCTCGAGGCTATGGACTTTATTAGACTATTTGGATATTTTTGATAGCTAGTACGGTTCTTACGTTTTGTGGACATTTCACACTGTTTCACATTTTATAATGGGTGTGTATGGGAAAGCTTGTTAAGATTTACAGTGGTGACATCACGGCTAGAGGGGAGAGGAGCTGGAACATTTTCTGAGTTTTCTTTCCAACTGTTGATCGGCTGGACACAATTTTCACTTTTCATACTCTGGTGATCATAATGTAGGGATATTTGTCCCGGCCGCACCGATATGCTCTGTAACGGAGGTGATCTCTGGGGCCATAGATCTCGGCCAACGTTACGGATTGTGTAGCTTTGTTGGTGGCGAAGTGTATGTAGTTGGTGCATCTGTCTGTGTTTTAGTTTGTCTGTCTCTGTTTGCTGGTTTTATTCTGAAAAGTGTTCCCCTTCCCCCATGTCTGTTACGGCTGATTGTGTGCACCTGGTGCCCTGTGTTGTCTCCTCCCCCCCCACCTGTGTCTAATTGCTGATTAGTGTGTGTGTGTATTTAGGCTCTGTTGCCCTGTCTGTTTTGGGGCTGGTAGTGTGTGTGAGATCCTTGTGGTGGCTGGTGACTGTGTTCACGTGGGCAGCAAATTGAGGCTGTGTCATATGTTTATGATGTAATAAATGCCCGATCACAAATACACAAAGCACAGCAGTTAAAATACACATTGTTAGAATATGTTATAGTTTAAAAAAGTTGGTGGCCTAATGTTTTTATTTAAATTTTATAAAATCTATTTATAAATGTTATGCATAATGCATTTCTATAGTCTTGTTTGTTGTCTTGATATTGTGATATTGATCTTAACACCATTGCCCAGCATTGAATGCAATTTGCTTCCCTAACACCACACTAACAGTACTTTGTTTATTTTCTGTCCCTCCAGAGCTCCCTCAGCAACATGTCTGTAATGAGGATGAGGTTCTCACTGACCAGCAGCTCTGTAGTCAAGAAAGGAACTCCAGTCTGGACCAAGAGGACCCAGAGCCTCCACAGATTAAAGAGGAACTTTGCACCAGTCAAGAGGAAGAGCAGCTTAAACTAAAGCAGGAGACTAATGTCTTCATGGTGACTCTTACTGATGAGGTGAGTGTGCACAGCGGACAGACTTGTGCAAAAGAGTCTGTAGGCAACATGCCAGTTATAAGCGTTGTGGTATCAGAAGCACAAAGTAATCTGCAGCTCATCTCTCACAATTCTAATGACGCAGGGTTAACAAGAACTGCGGATCCTGAAATAAACAAAAGACATCACAAAACCAAAAGGAACAATGAAAACAAGGCTAACTTGTCAGACATGCAACGTAATACTTGCACAGTGAAAAACAATTTTAAATGTCAAACTAAGTACATTACATTACATTGCATTTAGCTGACGCTTTTATCCAAAGCGACTTACAATAAGTACATTCGACCAGGAAGACACAAACTTGAAGAAAACAGAATCATATAAGTACATCAGGTTTCATAGAGCCAAACATTTCAAGTGCTACTCAACTGGCTTTAGATAAGCCAGTCCTTTATTAGTATATAAGTGCTTCGTTAATAGTTCTATCGCTCGAAGTGGAGTCGAAAGAGATGAGTTTTCAGTCTGCGCCGGAAGATGTGCAAGCTATCTGCTGTCCTGATGTCAATGGGGAGCTTATTCCACCATCTTGGAGCCAGGATAGCAAACCCACGTGTTTTTGCTGATGGGAACTTGGGTCCCCCTCGCAGCGAGGGTGCAGCGAGTCGTTTGGCTGATGCAGAGCGTAGTGCACGCGCTGGGGTGTATAGTTTAACCATGTCCTGGATCTACGCAGGGCCAGATCCATTCGCAGCATGGTAAGCAAGTACCAGTGTCTTGAAGTGGATTCTAGCAGTTACCGGAAGCCAGTGAAGGAAGCGGAGGAGCGGAGTGGTGTGGGAAAATTTAGGAAGGTTGAAGACCAGACGAGCCGCTGCATTCTGGGTGAGCTGCAGAGGTCGGATGGCACATGCAGGTAGACCAGCCAGGAGGGAGTTGCAGTAGTCTAGGCGTGAGATGACGAGAGCCTGGACTAGAACCTGCGTCGCTTTCTGTGTCAGCTGGGGACGTATCTTCCTGATGTTGTAAAGCGTGTATCTGCAGCAACGGGTTGTAGCAGCGATGTTTGCAGTGAAGGACAGGTTGTTATCTAGGATCACACCCAGATTCCTTGCAGTCTGAGTCGGGGAAACAACAGAGGTGCCGATGTTGATTGTTAGGTCAAGAGTGGGACAATCTTTTCCCGGAAGGAAAAGCAGCTCAGTCTTGTCAAGGTTGAGCTTGAGGTGATGAGCAGACATCCACTGAGAGATGTCAGCTAGACAAGCAGAGATGCGTGCGACGACCTGGGTGTCACATGTCAGTATTACGAAGACACATGACCACCCACACGGATGAGAAGCCATATGTTTGCGTGACCTGCGAGAAAAGCTTCAATGAGATGTCAAAATTAAATAGGCATATGAAATTCCACACAGCTGAGAAGAAATATAATTGCAAAACATGTGAAAAAAAATTCAAATTGAACTGTAACGTTAAGATTCACATCATGAGAGTCCACACAGGAGAGAAGCCCTATGTTTGCGTGACCTGCGGGATAACGTAATACTTCTACAGTGAAAAATAATTTAAAATGTGAAACTTGTGGGAAAGATTTTAAGTACATGTCATTATTGCGAAGACACATGACCATCCACACGGATGAGAAGCCATATTCTTGCCAAACATGTGGAAGAGATTTAATAGAAAGTAGAATCTTGATGTACTACATGCGAGTCCATCCATGAGAATAAATATACTTGCAAAACATGTGAAAATAAATTCAGATTTAACATTGACTTTAACAGTCATATGAGAATCCACACAGGAGAGAAGCCCTAAGTTTGCATGACCTGTGAGAAAAGTTTCATTGAGATGTCAAAATTAAGAAGGCTTATGAAAGTCCACACAAATGAGAAACCGTTAATTGTAAAACATTTGTGAAAAAATCTGATTTAACCATGATTTTAAGAGACACATGAGAATCCACACAGGAGAGAAACCGTATGTTTGCATGACCTGTGATAAAAGCTTAATTGACATGTCAACATTAAAAAGGCATATGAAAGTCCACACAGGTGAGAAACCGTATACTTGTAAAGCATGTGGGAACAATTTCAGATGTAGTGGTGAATTGTTGAACCACACGAGAAGGGTTCACGCTGCCGAGAAGGCATAACTTTTAATTGAAAAGGTTTTACATAGTTTAAACTTTACACCAACAAGTAGATCTCCATATTACACAAGTCACAAGGCCATTATTTGCAGCACTTTTTTCATCTGGATGAATGTTCACCAGGCAGCTACCTCTGGGACTGAGCAATGCAACCTATTTGTATTTCTCGTGCGCACAATATACTTTCTCATTTGCACGAGATACTTTCTTATGGTTAGACACATCGAACTGCCCGATTATTACGCCATATTATTAGTTTTATGAAGAAGATGTCCGGTCGCCAGAGGCCTGTACTACGAATCCAGTTCAACATACCCTGGGCATGTTTGAGTTACCCGGCTCACCTAACCCAAAACAAACGCTCTCTCGCTAAGCGGTCCTACGATGCTGGTGTAACGATATCCGTATTCGTCCCGTCACGGTTGCAGTCACACGACGAATACGCCTTTTTTTTACAAGTGGGAAAAAAGTCTGTCATTCAGCACTATCCACTACACTATATATAATCCAGGGGGTGGTATGGCGCCTAAAAGCTGTTTGCCAGCCACCCTTAAACAACAAATTTAAGAAGAAGAAGAAAACACAACAAAACCATGGATCAAGGGCGCCGGAAGCGGGGGGGCCATTGGCCCCCCCACTTTACGGCCCTGCCCCACATTTTCGCAGCAGCGGATGCCGCGGAACACTGTACACATCCCGTTTCAATAATTCCCCTCTACTCTAAAGTCGCATCTAAAAAGAACGCCATCTGATCTAGCTGTGTATATTTTGTTATTTTTGATTGTTATATTCAATCTCATTAGCTACAGGCATTTTTGAAGCTTGTAAAGGGAAGAACACAGCTCGCCTCTCACTCCACTCTGCTCTTCCACAGCGCCGCTTCCCCTCCCTCCGCTGACATTATGAATGTAAGAGTATAGTAATCATAGATAACACCGCAGGGTCCGTTACAGTTTGTTTTCATCTGATTTCAAATAAACAAAGTCTTGGCTTTCAGAATATTAAACTTGTTTCGTCAAATTCAGATGATAAATACAGCTTTGAAGCTTCGGCATAATTACAAGTGGAGAACGGAGTAACTTGACGTCACAGCAAGCATAACAACAGCCGGTGTTTCTCCTGAGAGTTTTCCCCGGGAAACAAACGCAAAAATACACAAACACACACACGTATACACACACACACTCGCGAGCTTCCCCCAGACCAGTAATCCAAATGAAAATATCTTCCCTCCCTACTACTTTGATCATTTGCTCCGCTAATAATCAATCAGATCGATCCAGAGAAGAGGAAACTTTAAAGGCCTTTTTCTCAAAATGATGACTCTGTGACAGTCATTATATAATGTGACATATTTTGCTTAATATTTGGAGTACAAAAACAATCCTGATATCATTAGAAAGCTAGGAATCTCCTCTTTCCAACAGTGTATACAACTCCAAATGTGTCTTCGGATCAATATGACTGATTTCGATGGAGCAGGTCACTTTTGCATTAGGTAAAATACAGCAGGCAGACATAACAGGAAGAATATGTACATTTTAATCCAATCAAATAGGACATTGTCACACCATTCAAATGTATCCATGTACATTACAACCAATAAAAAAGCTTAGATGTGTTTATTTGTTACGTTATGTGTTACGTTGTTCAGCCGTTAACCTAGATAAATAAACTTACAAACATGTCAGAAGAACCGGCGCATAAGAAAACAACTGCAATACAAGCTGCAATTCAACAACTTGAATATCACATCCATCCCTGACATCCACAACTCCGGAGCCTGGTCCTTCAACCATAGAACCAGCGCAGCCAGATGAACCCCAGCAGCAGCTCTGCGGCCGCAGAGACTGTCAAAACCGCCGCCGCCGGCATCGTTGAAAACAGGCTGGTTCCGACTGCATGGAGGTTTGTTATCGGGTTCCCTGTGGACTACAATAACGGTGGAGTGCGAGTGGTGGATCAGACGAGGACGGTGTGTCGGCGTTGTTCGATAGCGGTGCGGTATTAGTGCTGGGGGGGAAACGATTATTTTGAAAACGATTAATCGGGCGATTATTTGATCGATTAGTCGACTAATCTAACGATTATTTTTCTGTTGTCTAATTCATAAAAAACGTAATGTAAAACATTTTTTTTTCACGATACTGTGTCTCAGGGGATCTTAATATTTAAGAACCTATTAATGTGTTATACCAGATTAACGGAAATAATCTCAGCTAACTGACGATACAAACCATGTTTACCAAAACAAAACACAAGTCTCATAAGAAGCATCTAAATGACCCCTGAGCGAAAAATGCTAACGGACATTGGCACAGAACTCAAGATAAAAGTACCCTTATTACTTATCGTAGCTGCACATAAAATATATCCGATTAAAGCTGAGACTCCAGAGATTATGTAGGTATATAGTATCATCACTGAGTGATCCGGACTCGCGACAGGGGAAGCAAATACAGTCATCACAACACGTACCTTTACAGAGCTTCTAGGGAGATCGTCTCATCACCGTAGCTGTCAATCTGATCAAAAGACGTGTTCAATGGCATTAAAATGAGAAAAAACGCGGCTGAATCGGTTAATCCATAGGTTTTTAACGTCTATGTATAAAAAAATGATTGAATTTATAATCCATAATTCCATTTTAATGAAAAAATCGGAGAGCAAATGCTAGCTGCTAATGGTAGCCACCACAGCTAGCTGCTGCTTCCGGTCTAGGCAATGCAGTGAGATATAAATATCTTTGCGTTTTGGACTAACTTTAAAATATTCCCATGCTTTTGAAGACCTAGGGCGAGATGTTTTCGTTTGGGGGCTTCGTGCGCAATCCTGTGAGGAGGAGGTGGTAGCCGTTTCAGTCTTC